TTTTCTTAGCTGGTCTACTTTCATATTCAAAAATTGTCAAATTAAATCATTATTAAATGGCCACAAATGAAACTATTTTAAATAATAACAATAAGAAAATCAATGAACATTGTTTAACTAGTCATTGTTCAATGACATTGAACAACAACAATAATACTCTTGATGGAAATCATATTACTGAAAAATTAAGAAATGAAACATTAAATCTAATAATGAATGGTTCATGTTCAACATTAACAAACACTAATGTCTCATCCACTTTCACTTCATCATCAATGGATATGTTACGTCAACAAATGAATTCATCTTTATTGAACTGTATGAATTTCAATCAATTCATACCATCATCTACAGAGACATTGATTTCAGACAGTATAATTCCGTTTAGTTATATAAATCAAAGTGAAAATCAATCATGGTTAATGAAAACAATGAATGCTACAAATGCTACTACTATGAATACTACTACTACTACTACTGATAATAATAATAATAATAATAATAATAATAATAATAATAATAATCATAGTAGTCAATCGACTATAAATGATAAGAGTATGGGTGAAAATGATTCTTTGAACATTGTCAATACTAATACTAATAATAATAGTATCGATCACGCCATAAATAATTCATTTCTGTATCAATCAACCAATCATCTTTCAAATAATGTAACTGCATATTCTATGAACAGAACTGGAGGAAATGAAGAAAATCACTCTGCTAGTACTACCATTGCTAGTACAATGGCAACGAACGCGGTTGTTGCTTCTCAGCATGCCATAGATGAAAGTAAACAAGTAATTGAAGATAGTGAAATAGACCAGCAATTATCCAATGAAAATTACACTGGAACTATTTCAAATTTACATAAATTTGCTGCTTCTTTATCGTTGAATCAAACAAAACACCCTTTCAATCATCATCAACTGCCTTCTGTTCCTAATCATCATTATAATTATTCCTATGAAATTGATCAACAAGAGAATGATCATGATAACGATGATGATGGTGATGATGACGACAAGAATCACACTGGTGGTATGCATGATATGAGTGATGTTTTTTCAAAAGATGATCACAATAATGATGATGATGATGCTGATGATGATGGTAGTAGACGTCATGAAAATTGGAAGAATAAACGAATCAAATTCGAAGATCATCTACAATATCATGATATAAGTTTAAGTCAGCGTCAAAATATCTCACAAATTGATTATCAAAATAGAAATTTTAATTCTAAATGTGACATTACTAATACTACTACTCCTACTAATACTAATACTTATGCTAGTAGTACGATTGTCACTAGTACTACAACTGATTCAATGATTATGTCAATGCAAAACAGACAATTTGTTGATGATAATCACATTGATAATAATAATCATAATAATAATAATGTATTCCATGAAAAAAACAACGCTCTAAATTATTTAAATTCAATGAAAAGAAATGATCGAACACAAACACATCACCATAATCATGCAATCAATGAACAAGGCAATCTTGACGATATGGTTAAAACAAATAACAAAGGAGGAATTATTTCAGAAAAAAACAACAATGAAAGCAAAGAGAGCAACGAGGACAATGATGCGGAGGAGGGAGAGGACGAGCAGGACGAACAAGATGATGATGATGATGATGATGATGATGATGCTGTTGTTACTGCTGCTGCTGCTGTAGCTAACGATGATGTCGACAATGAAGATGTCGATGATGAAGATGTCGATGATGAGGTCGATGATGATGATGATGAGAATGATGAAGAAGATCTAGGTGTTGTTACTGATCAACAAATGATCATAGTTAATAATAATAAAATTATTAAAAATTCTCAACGTCATGTTCATTCACAGGATCAACAACAACAACATCATCATCATCATCTGATTGAAAATGATTGTTTAAATCTAATGAAATATTCAACAAACAGAAATCAAATGTACACTGAATTAAATCAAGTTTACAATGATACAGACGATCCAAATATTCATGTATTAATGTCACCGACACATCATTCACCTCAACATCCACATCAACATCAACACCAACATCCACATCATCATCATCATCATTCTCATCGATATAATAATAATAATAATCCATTGATAATGTGTCCACCCAATAAAATGATTGAAAATATCATCGATTCTCGTACACATTCGAAATTCATTGATCAAACTGGTATAAATTATGGAATTAGAGGGAAAGTAAGTAGTATCATTGTATTTTACACATGTATTTTCTGCTACTAATTATTTATTCAAATGATTCAATATGATTCGATATGATGTTTTTTTTTATTTATCAATCATTAACTTTTTGTTCACATGTTTATAAAGTGAACTTTTTTCCCCATCCATCCATTGATTGACTGATCGATCGATTGATGATGATCACTTCACAGTAAAGTGAATCATTTTCATTAAAATTCTAGTAACAATTTTAAATTGGAATATAACGATAAGTAGTATAGAGGTACTGCTACACAACTCAATTATCCACTTGACAGTGTGTGTATAGATTGTTGAATGAAATGAAAAGAAATAAGTTTCAATCTGATCTCACTATCAAACTCTCTAAATGCGTAAATTTTGACTTTACAACAATTGACCATCTAATAGTGAGTGCTCTAGCATTTGAATGAATTATTCTAGTGGTAGAAGTGTGAGTAGTATTTACTCATCCATTAAAATAATAATCCGATTTAATAGGATACATGCAATTCTAATGGATAATTGTTGATTTTAAACTATTCAGTAATGCACAAAATTACTGATTGTATTTATTTGAAAGAAAACATGTTAAGATAAAAAAAAATTTCTCTTCCTTAAAACTCTTCTTCAGTTAAGGCATGTTTCTATCAGTTGATCTTCCACAAAAATCCTCTTTCATTATCCATTACATGCACATATGAATTTTAATACATTTGTCTGAGTTGTTCATTTTTAAAAGATTGAACAATATGCGAGAAACATTTAAGTTTTCCGATAGTCAGTATTTAAAAATTAGTTTGCGTTTTTTTTTCCGAAAAAAGACACAGTTGACATACAAAAATATTCAACTTATTCAAATCTAAAATTAGAAAGTCAAGTCGAAAATTTACTCACTAATGAAAACGTCAGTAACAATCTTGAAAACTGTTTAATATGAAAAAAACTATGCATTGGAATTTTTAATCGCTAACTATTTAAATCTTTCATTGTTTCTGGTCAACTTTCTTTCCTGTTATTAAAATCTGCAAAAGGAATCTTTTCAATCATTATTTCATTTTTTAATTTGGAATTAATTAACAGCTGTACTCTGATCACAATGCAATGAAATCGAATCCATGCTTTTCATAATAAATGTATGTATGTTAGTTATTATTTCACTGTCACATGTTCTACACTATTTTACTTGATTAAGGTCACCACACAATTCTTCTTAGAAATTCATTGGAAGTTAGCAGTACATTATTTTATTTTTAGTATTATTAGTATTATGATGATTATTATTCAGTGTACTACCATTCACACAAGATCATCTTCATTGATCAATAAAGGCAGTGATTTTTTCTTTTTTTTTTGCTTCTTCTTCTTCATCTTGTTTTTTTGGGTAACTTTTGTAGAACAAAAAAATAAATAAACTATTTAATCAATCTATTAAATACAAGTTTTGTGTATCGTTGAAATTTTCCTAATCTATATTCTATGACTAGCAACACAATCGGCATACAATAATAAACCATAGAAATATTTATTTGAATTAGTTAACAGTGTACAATGATATTATAAAAATGAGAATACTGATCAACTATATAGCCTTATTATTATGATAATGATTATTTTACACACAAATGAGAATTCATGAGTACACTGTACATCTGAATATCCGGTCAAGAATTAACTTTTATTTTTATTCCTTTTGTAAATATTTATTTATTGATGCAGTTATTGAGAAGGATTAAAAAAATAATAGAAATACAGAAATACAGAGATAAACAAACCTACATATAATTAGAATTGTAATACATATTGATTTCCAGTGTAATTTATTGTGAATTACGGAATTTGTTCTTCCTTTAAGTTGAATGATAATCAAGTTTCTTTTTTAAAAAAAAAAGAGGAGACATGGAATGAGGAAGCAAAGAAAAAACAAAATAACAAACATGGATGATAGAAAGAGAGAAGAACTGCTTTTTTTTTTGTTTTGGTGATTACTATTAATCAAAATTGTTTTCTAAACATAAAAAAAAAATATTCATGAATAAAAATTCACATCCTGTGTTTTTATTGCATTCATTTTTTCCTGTAAAATATACAATTGTAAAAACTTGATACACAATTGAAAAATATCACATAAAATTCACTAACTTAACTAAATATTATTACTGTGTTTCATTAAATTGTTTCATTCAAATTAATTTATGAAATGAAACAAGCAATTTGTTAGTAAATTGCGGTCAAATCATCATTTGGAATCTTTCAAATGGGTCTCATTACAAAGTGTTCAACTGCTCTCATTTTCCTCACTAATTCAATATGTGTTCACTCATCTATTTCATTGACACATTGAATTACGTGAGTTGCGAACAACGCATGATCAGACCAAAACCAACCAGTTTCTACCAAACACATGGAAATGATAGATAATATTATCAAATTAGTAGGAAGTGTTAAATTGAACATTGGGACTGGATACAGACAAGTTGATTGATAGATTGATAGAATCAATGTTTGTTAAACTGGCACACACTCACATACAATGATTACCTACAGATTAGATGATAATGATGACCCTTCAGTACTACTGTGTATGTGTTGCGCACATACACACGGACACGCTGACATAGAGGCATAGATGTAGGAGAGGAATGTGTTTCTCGTGTAGATGAATTCACCCGCATATTATAATTGTGTTGTCCGTTGTATACATGCATTGTTGTCATGACAATGAAGCTGATGACAATAAATTTCCCATTTATTTAATTACCTCTTTTCAAATAAGTTATGATTTATTTTCGATTGGTATTAGCTACTACCACTACTCAAACTACTACAACTATTCAAACTACTACTATTACTACTCACACTACTACTACTACTACTACTACTACTACTACTACTACTACTACTACTACTACTACTACTACTACTACTACTACTACTACTACTACTACTACTACTGATCTATTTCTGTCTGTTAACTAGTTACGTTATCCAATTCGTCCAAATCATGCTCCTCAGCCGGTTTTATTTATGCATATTTGTTATACGTCAATGTTGATTGGATTGGATTAGCAAGTATTCACAGTCAGAAAATGTGCTAAACAATTTTCTCTCTTTTTTGATGAAGCTTAAAAGTGATTAAGTGTGTGTACAAAGTAGTAAAGACAAAAAAAAGAAAAAACCGAACTCAACTAGTAGGGAAGCTTAAAACTCAGAAAATCATTTGAAATTAAGATAAAAATTCAAATTTTTCCACAAACATTTTCATTAATAAATAATCATACTACACTATATCATCAAAGACAGTCTACACTAAACAGACATTGAAATTATTTAAGGTCAGAAGTCTGTTACTGTGTCGAAACTGATATTTCTCAATTGTATGTTCAATGTGGATGAGTAGATAGAAAATTTTGACCTAATTCATCACACCATACCAATTAACTAACTAACTAACTAGTCTGTCTGTCTGTCTGTCTATACTGTTCAGCTTTAATGTTATATTTTTCATGTTTGCAACGTATTATTGATAAGTTAAAACTTATTGTTCAATTTGTCTGCTTTACAACCGAAAATTTCTTTCAACTTATTGATAGTGTATTAAAATACAAAGTTTTCTACGATATATATATTTACATATATTCCGGACCTTCGATCTCTTAAGCAAACATTTAACCTCTGGACCACTGTATCAGGATGCAGTGTTATACATGTCAAACAGAAATATCTTATGACCATCCTCTATTGGTTGCAATGTCTTGCATTCGTGCGAGTTTGATTCCCTTTTATAATAGGATTCTGAAAACACACGCACGCATGCACACACACTATTGAGGAAAAAACAGCTATTCAGTGCTTTCCAATTTTCAATGGTGACCCAACTAAAATTAGTTTATGTTTGAAACTATGAAAATCTTATGCAAAATGATTAGTTCTCTCTAATGAATTGATTCATTTCAATTGTTTATTCAAAAATCTCATCAAATTTATAAATAAAAGTTTAACTGAATGTAGGATTTCATTAAAAAAAAAGTTTGCATGATTCTTATAGAGTGTGCTACAATGTAATACATTCATTCATTGATTAGTGAGTATTTCTAACGAATTAACAGTGTACTACATTGTATTTTCACTTATGCAAATATTCTCTAAGCAACTTTCATTGAATAGATTTAAGTAATGGAAACAGTGAAATCCTATTTGTCATAGAGAGATAAAAAAGTATGTAAGTAAGTAAGTAAGTAAGTATTCAAGTAAATCTCTGAACTAGGTGTACACTGTTTTCATTAAGATATATATACATTTATATCTATATAGATAGATAGATAGATAGATATGTAATCTTAAAGATTCCCATTGTGAAAATTAGAACAACACATATAAGATATGTAATCATCAAGAACAATATTCATTGATAAACGAAGAGATTCATTTTCATATTCTGCATTTGTTTGTTTATTGTTGTTAATCTAATTTAATTTTTCAACACTAATTTCATCTTGTCAATATATAAATGTGTGTGTGTGTATGTGTGTGACAATGGAAAAAGTTTTCAGGCTTAATTCATATTTTTTTTGTGATATTTTTTCCTCTTACCTTTTTTTCATAATAAATCCTCTCCGTAAACCATAATCATAATATTGCAGTCAGTTTACTATTGATTAAACAGAATGACATTTAAAGTAATTTATTAAAAAAAAAAATTAGATTGTAGTACTTTTATGGGAGAAAAATTATTAACGATATAAAAATTAATTCAGGTGTTTTGTCCACTTATATGAACGACGCAAAAACAACACTGATCCCTGCTACTCTATAATGAATCAATGTTCAAGTTTATCATCTAAGAAAAATCAGTTTCAAGATAATGTTTCATATCAGGAGACTAGTTGATCTGGGTTTTGAATTTCACAAAGAGCATCACTTTCTTCAAAAATGTAATCTATGCCTTGCTATTGAAAAATCATCCACTATGAAATATAAGTTTATTTCACCTAAATATTTATAAATGTTTATTAAGTGGCATTAACTTGAAATTATTCATCCGAGCTCAATAGTATCTCCTATCTTTATGGAATTGCATACATTAATAATCAATAATTCACAGTAGACATTTGTAACTAATGTCGATGAATACAAACTGATCTTATAATCTTATCTGACTGAATTATGTTGGTTGATTTAAATTGTAAATGTTAACCTCTATGTTGTTAATTCAATAAACTCATGAAGATAAAGTTTAAAGGAATAAAACAACTTAGTCTGAAGTTTCAGTGAGAAGTTGTAACTAGTGTCGATCAATTATGTCACAATCTGCAAACTGTGTTGGTTAAAACTTTCACCACAAATGAAATCATGGATAAGTATTGCTGATGACTTCATTATGAGGATGAAAAAGTTATCGAAGGTTCAATGCTATACAAAATAGAATGACTTTGGCATACGAGATTATCATTATTGTCTGAGTTCACTGTATATCTTGCTATCCTTGACACAAGATATTAAACTAACCAAAATCCTGTTAATTTTTAGTTTAAATAATTAGTCTTTACTTTTTCAATATGATTTTATGATCATCATTGATATTACTAAATAAAAAAAATATTAAAAATGTGTTTAATAATTCTTAATGATTTAACATTAATCAATGTGACTTATAACAACTTTTGAATTACTATAAATAAGAAATAAAATAGTTTTCAATTATCTATAAAAAGGTTATCACAATTTTTTTTTCTACTAGTTTCACAATGAAAACATTGTATAAGCATGTTACTAGTGATTCACTAATATATATCATGCATTCAAATTCACATTCATCCTATGAATGAATGACTGTGAGAAATTGTCTGATATTTTGGAATGAAATCTTTCCAAGAGTAATAATTCTTTCAAAATTACAAGTATATCTTGTCGATGTATGCTAAATAGAATGAAACCCACTCATGATCTATGATCACATTAGATTGTAATTCAGTATAAACGATACCGAATCACTTTAACTCATGAACACATAACCATTTTATCAGTATTAAGAAACACTTTGCATTCATTGTATTGGCCATTAGTAGTCAATAATTAATGATTTGTATGCAACTCATAGAGTATGTTTTACTCTATGTGATATGGATGTCTAATCATCACTCATGAAAATGTTTCCTTAATCAGGTTATCAAATTTGTTGTATATATATATATATATATATATATATATATATATATATATTGCAGGAGAGGCAATTAGGTGAATTTTGTAGATAAACTCTACACAGCTAGAACAATGTCTCGGTGGTTAATTATATTCGGTTTTCAACCATTAAGTGATAGTCTGTAAACTGGTCTCCAATCACTAAGGTTTGGACAAGTGAATCGTATCAATGGCATTCACACAATTAAAGCGTCGTTCGAACTTCCGTATACGAATGTTTACCAGAGAAAGAAGTCAATAAAAATAAATAAACAGACAACAGAACATTATCACAAAAATAATGAAATTTGTAAATAATATCAACATTTTGATACTAATTGAATGATTGAACAATATTATACTTGTACAAAGTAATTATTTTCTCCTTTTAAATTAAATACTGTAAAAAAAATAGGGAAACAATTGGTACTATAATAAGTTGATTGATGAATTTTGAAGTTTTACTGTTTCAATCATGTATGTCAGCATGAGTCATGAATTTCAATATTGTCTACACAGTTGTTAGACAAAGATAAGGAGATTAGTGGGTAGTTGAAAAATAGAAGTAACCATTCACAGATAATGATGCTACTCGATATACAGCATATATTTATTGGTCTGATCATTAAAGTCAACATGATGACATCCGATCACTATCGTTATCACTGTCAACTATGTCATTGAAGGGTAATATGATCAGTGACAACATTTAAAAGGCACAACCATATTCCATATTTGATTACTCACTAACTCACTCACTCACCCAGAGGCGTTATCTATTTCTCTCACCTTTTAACAACAAGCTAAAATGACGGAATACAATAATGTTTTTGAAAAATATGAGCGAAAAATAAAATACCATGCAAAATACGAAAAAAAGTGTTAACTCATTATCTCAATATACAACAACATCGAATGTCAATTTGCCGACAAATTTTTTCGCTCATTCAATATCATTATTATTATTATTATTATTATTATTATTATTATTATTATTATCAGTTGTGTCGACTAGATCGGCGTTACAACTTCTACTTGTCTGTATGCGATGGCGAATAGACAAGGAGGATAAATTTACTGATTATGTCATGCTTTGAGATGAATTCTCACTCAATAATTATTCATATATCTGTTCATATATGACAAATCAACAAATGATCATTGTTCAATAATTTATTCCACTTATCTCTGAGGATATGAGATTAATTTTTTTGAAAAAGAAAAGAGAAAAAGAGAAAAGAATACGAGATAATTACGAAATAACACACATGTATTTGCTCAATGAGTATGATGTTTTTGTTTAACATTCATCTAATACTGCACAATGAAATTGACTGAATGCAGAATTAATGATCGGTTATAGTCAATTCATTATTATTTGACTAGAAAAAGGTTTATCTTGTTCTCATTGATAATGTGTGTTAACATTGGGTGTATCCATATCTCATTAGGATGATATGACTACTGACAATGATTTGGTGATCAATTATTGGATACATAGATAGAAAAAAAAATTCAAGAAATAAAAACTTAGTGTAGTTGTAGTAAAATTGATTTTTAATAAAATCTATGTAAATTTCTTAAAATCAATGTAACATTAGACTAGTGATACATTTGTAACTCATGAATCTACTCATTAGAAGTTTGGCATTTAAGCCAAGAATTTAACGACACTAGTTAAACAAGCACATTTTTAATTAATATTTCCAAAGTTCAATATTTTCATTTAATAATAACCCGGTCACCAAGTAATTGTATTTATTTATCAATTTGGAGCACCAAACTGTTTACACTAA